ACCCGCTATCCCCAAGTCTACTTACCCAAGCCAGCTGCTCCTTTAACCCGCCTTGTCTGCCCTGGCCTGGCTGTGCGATCCCCCCTGCTCACTTTTCTCCCCTTCGCCACAATTTCCACTTCAGGAGAAAAGTTTCTTGTCTTCCTCACTCTCCTGCTCCTTCTGACGACAGCCAGGGTGCTGGATGGCTCCTAGGCACAGCACATATTATTTATCTATTGCCTCCTTCAGATAATATCAGAGCTGGACCCACATGACAAAGTCCAGAGAGAAATTCACACTCCCCTGAGGTCAGGAAGCGTTTGTTCGGACCTATGGATCTGGCTGAGGCTTGGCTCATACTTGGCATTTCATAACTATAAAGTATGATGCAACTCCTCAGAACAGTCTTGGAAAGTCAGTCAATGTTCTACCTAACTTTTGGAGAGGGGAAACTGAGGCACAGAGCAGGAGAAAATAACTTGCCCAAAGTCCCAGAGGTATATAGCAGCAGAGTGAAGATGAGAATTCAGGAACTCCTGGCTCCCTGCTCAGACAACACACAATCCCTGAACACATCTCCCTGTGTTACCTGGACATAACTAACGGCATCGCTGCGTGGGTCTTAGATGAACAGAGCCAGCTGTTGAGAATTGCTCTTGGGAAAAATATTCCTCTGAGAAAGCGAGTGAATGACTGACTCTTGTGATGTGTGTATATGGAACCTAGCACAATAGGCCCTGTTGAGACTTACAGTAAGAGATAGTCCCTGCCCCAGGGAGCTCCCAGTCTAAAGAGACCAGGCAGACAAAGGTCTCCAGGGGAAACAGAGGGGTGAAGAGACTGGCCTGTGGTTACAAAGTCAGTGTCAGAGCTGGAATTAGAACCCAGGTCACGTGAGTCCCAGTCCAGTGCCCTATCCGCTAGACTGCACTGCCTCTTCAAGTGTGAGCCCAGGACTTCAAAACTCTTCAATTTACTCCCAGCAAACCCCCCTCCAGTATTCACAGACTGCCCGAGTGCACACAACCCCGCCCCCAACATTTCTAAAAGCAGACAAAGCCTTCCAATATGGTCTGATGAAGAGCACAACGTTTCTGCTCGGTGCGTGGGGCTGCAGCCTGAGAGTTTGGTGCCATCGAGTCCCTGGGGGCTCTAGTCCAGGGGTGGGCAAACTTTTTGGCCCGAAGGCCACATCTGGGCATAGAAATTGTAGGCGGGCCATGAATGCTCACAAATTGGGGTTGGGGTGCGGGAGGGGGCGAGGGCTCTGGTTGGGGGTGCGGACTCCGAGGTGGGGCCAGAAATGAGGAGTTCAGGGGGCAGGAGGGGGCTCTTGGCTGAGGAGTGGCATGGGGGGGTGAGGGCTCTGGCTAGGGGTGCAGGCTCTGGGATGGGGTTGGGGATGAGGAGTTTGGGGTGCAGGAGGGTTCTCTGGGCTGGGACCGAGGGGTTTGGAGGGGATCAGGGCTGGGGGCAAAAGAGGATGGCTCAGGGGTGCAGGCTCCAGGCAGCGCTTACCTCAAGTGGCTCCCGGAAGCAGCCGCCATGTCCCCTCTCCGGCTCTGCACGCTGCCCCATCCACAGACGCTGCCCCTGCAGATCCCATTGGCCGCAGTTCCCGGTCAATGGGAGCTGCGGGGGCGGCACTTGGGGTGGGGCAGCGTGAGGAGTAGAGCCCTCTGGCTGCCCATATGCATAGGAGCCGGAGTGGGGCCATTCTGCTGCTTCCAGGAGCTGCGTGGAGCAAGCCCCAACCCTGCTCCCTGGCTAGAGCACCGGAGCAGGGCAAGCCCCAGACTCCACTCCATTTGTGCCGGGTGCTGTACAAACAAGAGACAGTTCCTGCCTCAGAGACTTGACAGATCTCAGAGCTCGTCTGTCCATGAGCTATTCCGGAGTAAGAGTGCCTTTCTCCAAATTAGTTTAATCAACTTTGGAAGTGGATTAAGATAAACCAGAAAAAGGCACTGATTCCAGAATAAGAACGTCCACACAGGGAGCTATTCCGGACTAGCTGTTCCATTTTCAATTCACACTCTGCCTTATTCTGGAATAACTTTTATGGGTACATAAGCCCTACAAAGATAAAACAGCAAAGCGTGGGAGAAAGGCAGGGTTCTACTTCTACAAATAGGGAACAGAGGCTCAGACAAAGCAATTTGCCCCCTGCCCCAGGTCACAAGGGGAATCTGTAGCAGAGTTGGGATCTCAACCCCTCTCTCCCGGCTCCCGGCCCAGTGCCTTAGCCACAGACTCATCCTTCGCTTCACCGCCAGCATTTGGGGCTCAATCCTGTGCCGAGAGCCTCCGTGAAACCGGCTGCAGCCGAGTAAATTCTAGAGCGACCATGGAGCCTCAAAACCCAGGAACCGCCCCACACCTCCAGCTCGGCTAAAGCCACAGCCGCCCCTGGCCTTTTGCAGATCCAGGGGCAGGGCCAGCCAGGCTATGAACAAGCCCTCAAGGCTACTAGGGGCAGCAGCATCCCAAAAAAACTACAATTCCCAGGAGCCTCGGCGGCCCCTTCCTCCCTTCTCTCCTAAGGAGAAAATGGAGTGAATGGGGGGGCAGGCTGGTTCCCCTCTCGCAAGGGGCTTTGCACCTACCTCAGCCATCTCAGCCCAGCCCCTGCTGTGCAAGGGGGAAGCAGCCTGGCTCCTGGCCCTTTGTGCCTCCTCCTCCCTCCTGGCCACCCAGCACAGACCCTCAGCAGCAGCTGCAAATTCTCCCAGCTCAGGCTCTGCCTTCTCTGCTGACAGGGGCCGGGCAGAGCCAGTGTTAAAGGGGCAGGTGCAAAACGCCAGGGGAGAGAACAACTGACACACACAGACAGACAACTGAGCCGCTCATTCACCCTGCAGGCGGGAACAGAATTCCAGGGGGCCTGCTTAGGTGCACAACGATTAATCCATACGGGTTGGAGCCGCAATTAGTAAATCAGAATTGAACGACTACATCGAATTCAACATCCAGCCTTTTAAACCACTTTGAACATGGCAACATGCTCTGTAAGCACCGAGAGTTGTTACCTATTTAAAATTACATTGTTGTAGTTAGGACGTGTTGCCTAGTGGTTAGACGGGCTCTCAGGCGCGCTGCCTCGCTGCATGACTTTGGCCTCTCTCTCCTATAACAAAATAGGGATAAACTAACCCGCTTCACAGGGGCAAAGCAAACAATTATCTCTGAAGATGCAAAGTGCCAAGTATTATTCATTTAAGGGGGGGGGGGAAACAGAGGGAGAAAAGCAAAATATACAATAGCAACAGAAATTCCAAATTTAGGCTTTTTGGCAGATTTGCTTCAGGCAACAGTGGATTTTTTTCCGAACTAGACTTCTCTATTATGCAAATAAATACATCCCTTCCCAGGGTGCTCTTAAAATAGGCCATTCAAATCCAATCCAATACATGGAAAGCGTGGAAGACCCTACAGAAACATTGCTGTGGATCTTGCAAGAGTGAACCCCTTCGTTTGTGTTTGTACAGCGCCTAGCACAGTGGAGTCTTGGTCTATGACTAAACAATAATAATAATTAACTTGTGGCCTGATTTTCAGAGGTGTTCAGCCCCCATTGGCTTTGAATCCTTGGTGGCTCTCCAGCCTTCTCCACCTTGTTCGTTGCTACCTAGGTTAACGGTATCATTTAAACAGCGGGTTCCCTCTGTCACTCCCTTGCCACATGGCCCATTGAGTAGTGTGATCCCATTGTCCTTAATTAGTGTATACACTGACAGGTAAGAGAGACTTCTCAAAGATACGTTTGTAAGTTCATGATTACCAAGACAGCACGGAGCTCGCAGTGCTCAGGGACGAGTATATATTATTACATTCATTTCTAAAGCATCCGTCACAATGGAATCGCAGCACTTTTACTGTGCTGAGAGACAGGGAGGTGGGAATATGCTCTTGGGAGGTGGGAATAAGCTACCCTGTTTCCACAAATTCTAATGGGATGTGTCTACTGGGTAGAGCAAGGGGCTGGAATATAGGACCCCCGACTCCTAGTTATTATTTGTATAGTGGTAGACCTTATAGGGCTCATTCAAGCACAGGGGCTGCCTTGTGCTAGGCGCTGCACACACACAAGGACAGCACGGTCCTCCTCAGAGAGCTGCCATTGTAAATTGTAGCTCTGTGGGAGTCTTGCTTCAGTGGAGCCATGTAACCACTCTAGACTTATCTGTAAGCATGAAGATACTACTAGCCTTCCACCCAGAGCTGTTCTGTTGCTATATTAACATTTCTGAAGTACTAGGAGAGCTTCAGACGAATGGCACTAGGTTAATTAATATATGTGAGGTGCTCACATACTCTGGCAAGGCCATATAAGAACCTAAAAAAAAGACAGATATTTAAGCGCAGATAAGGACTCAGGTTCTTTTTATTATACCTCAGGAAGAAAGGCCATTACACCTCAGGGACTAGACCGTTTTCTTCCCCTCCTTCCCCCCCAGAATAAAGGGCATCAATCGATCTTTCCCAAAGACAATCTGATGTGACCATTCTGCTGCAAGACACATCATTGTGCATTAGGTCATCCTGCTAGCCTTTTAGATACTATAAATTAAATTAATGGAGATATCCCATCTCCTAGAACTAGAAGGGATCTTGAAAGGTCATCCAGTCCAGGCCCCTGCCTTCACTAGCAAGACCAAGTACTGATTTTTGCCCCACATCCTTAAGTGGCCCCCTCAAGGATTGAACTCACAACCCTGGGTTTAGCAGGCCAATGCTCAAACCACTGAGCTATCCCTCCCCCCCATGGTTGATTTTAACATCTCATAATAATAGTGTTTGGCAAGTGGCTCTAGAAACACTTTTCAGACTTAGCGCTCATCTTCTCAGCACTTTACAAGCTTTAATCAATCCTCAGAACATCCCTAGGAGGAACGGAATTAGGTTTCCTAATCCCCATTTTGCACCAAGGGACAATTGAGGTAGAAACGTGAAGTGATTTGCCCAACAGGACCATGTAACAACTGTGGCAGAGCCCAAATTAGAACTCAGGAGCATTTGGGCACCAGCCCAGCGTTCAAGACATGCCCAGGGTAGCACAGGAAATCAGTGCGTGCTGCTGATGGATTATGAAAGGATGAAAGTTTGTGCATGACCTGGAGAGGTTGTGTCCAGGACAATGCAACTACTTTCTGGCTACCTCCATCATGCCTGGCATAGACCTCAATGGAGATCTTAGCTGTGACTGACTAAACATCATCCCTCTAGCTTGTATGTGCACACACCAATCCTGCCAGAAGGGCATGGTGCAGAAGATAGAGTAACTGGAGTGCTAGTGCCTGTAAAGCAGAAGCCCCCAGTTTGTCACTCACCCATTTGCTGGCTCTTGTGGCTGGCATGGAGATGACGGAAGACAGAGTAGGTGTCTCCAGCCTGACTGCAGCAGCCCCTTGGCGGGAAGGGTGCAAAATCCTTCTCGGATAATTACAGCCAAACAACCCATGCCATGGGCTGCACTGTCCCCACAAGAAAGTGCATTCTACAGACCAAACATTCATCCTTAGAGGAATCATGCCCCAAGTACCAGCCACCTCTGGCAGATGATTTACCAAGCTGCCCAAAGTTAATAGGGGATGCAATAAAGAAACCAAGGTGGGGAAACAAGAGGCAGAACAGCCACCCCGCTAAGCACCCTGGAGGCATACTTCCCTGCTACAGAATCTCACTGGCTTTGCAAGCTCCAGTTCGTTAAGAGCCCAGCTCCTCAGCTGGTATGAGTCAATCTCTCTCCATTCAGCCATGCTGATTTATACCAGCTGAGGAACTAACCTTAAAATATGCAGATAGCAGAGGAGAACTGCTAAAAACTCACTAATTTAGTGCTTTCCCCCTCTGGGTCTGCCCCAAACAAGTTAATGAAGACCTAACTGGTTCCAGGCTTGGAACAAGAGAACAAAGCAGGATTCCAAGTGTCATTTAAGAAATAAGGCTGGTTTTAAAATCACCACTACATGCTACAGCAAGAACATGAAGATTCCAGTTGTAAAAAAACAACTCCCATGTGACTAGTCAAAGGTGAAGCTGCACAGTACAAGGATGGGAATAAACCAGAGGCCAAGGCTTCCTTGATCCTGAATTTATTAAAAAAAACAAATCACAAAGTTGAAAGGGGGAGAGAGATGGCAAAGTATTTCTCTGCCAAACGCAGATCAGAGGAACTCTGTTGATCAGGTTGTTCCCTTGTCTCCAGACTCCGAGGACCTTTCCCCACCTTCTCCCTCTGTGTGGTGGTTTTGCGACTCTGTCTCTGCAGTCCTCTCTGGGAGCAGTTCCAAGGCGTCCTCGCCAACTACACGTCTCACTTTCTCCCCTTTGGCTGCTAGGATTTCCTCAATGTTCCTGGATTACAAGTTAAAAAACACTAGTAACATTGCAAAGGTGCCCACGAGACTAGATGTTAGATTTTGCAGCTGAGGCTTAGGTGCTCTCAGCTGCATTCTGTTTTCACCATTAGCAGGAATTCAAGTTCTGAAGATGAATATAACATTTCCTCCTAGCAGAGCTAGTCCAGGGGACTGTGGAGACGATGGGATTACAGACTTTAGGGGCAATTTTCATACAACATGATCACTAATTTGGCAACTGCAGTTAGACAGAGGTAGGATTTTCAAAGGAGTTGAAGGGAGTTGGAAGCCTTTGAAATTCAACAGGATTTGAGCACCTAACTCCTTTAGGCTCCTTTGAACATGCTAGCCAGAGACCAGCAATGATTTAATAAGGCCTGATGGAGAACCAAATATCACATCCAGCAATAAGACTGCAACTGGCAACCGTGGTATCGGTGCAACATGCCCTTTCTAACTGTTTTGGCTACAACCCACTTAGTGGGCCTTGGTTGGGCGATTCCATTATTTACACCACGCATCTGCAATGGGTCAGAAAACTCGGCCATGGGACTGGAGTCTTCTTACATACTTCAGAAAGTTAGCGGAATCAGAGATTATCCCCAGCAATAACTCTCCTGCGCATTTAAATACCACTTACACTGGACTTCTGTTTCTTGTATGCTTTGTATCATCTAAACAGGATTGGGCTATATTTTGATGGCCTGTCAAGGGGGAGAAGGGGGAAGAGCTGCTGTCACTGACACTGTTACCTTTTCCCCTCCAAATCTGAAAACCATCCCAGGTTATCTGCTATCACGTGATGATTCTTGCAACCAGGACACTTTACTATCACCACCCCGTTATGATACGCTAGTTTGGAAATCGTTTTTGCTGACCGTGTTTTGCAGACCTAGAAAGTGAACAAAGTTAATTTCATGACCAAGATGCTTAGATTTTTTTGTTTATTTTGTAAAAAGACACAGCTATATTACAACCCAACAAAGTCAGAGACACCGTTTATCATACTAAAAAGGACTTGTTTTCCCCCAACCACAACATTTCTTCAACTAAAGTGGTCATGCAGCCCCACAATATGATACTACCAGCTTGCTACTCAGAGGTAAGCTACCTTCCTATGTCATTTGAACTTGGGCCAATGGAAAGAACATAGCCCCAAACGCATTTTGATTTCTGAGACTTACTGATCTTTCCTCACTCTCTTGCTGAAAGAATAATTTAAAAACCACACTGGTTTGCATTCCTAAATGTAAAGTAGAATACAAATCAGTTTCTCAAGCCTGATATTCTTGGTTGTTTAGATACCATGGATTGTACTTGTTTGTGTTTTTAAACCTCCGGAAAGACCAACTCCTGTGTATTTAAGTTTATTTTGGATATGATTTAAAGGTTTGAATTTGACTATGAAAGCACAGATGGCAAATAATCAAAACATTATTATGAACTAAAACAACCCTGAAGCTGATTCAAAAATATTCACCCAATGTGACATCTCACGTGTTAGCTTTTAGTAAGACATTTAAGGGATTAAATGAAACACACACACTTTATTACTACTAAAAGAAGAGTCGAAAGGGGGAAGCAATTTTAGTGGGCACTGGCCTTAGTCGCCTTCCCTTTTGCAATAGGGGCTGCAGGGCTACAAAACATTTTCTTATGGGGTTTAAGAGTCTCCATTTGCAAGCGTGGAGCAACTCCCAGCCCCAAAACAACACAGATGTCCCCCAAAAGATAACAGTGATATGCCCAGGTACCTTGCAGCGAGTCCTCAGCCCTCAATCACTGGGGTACCCCTCGCACCCAACTCCCATCCCCTCCCCAGGGCCCCCCCCAGCCCCAGGTTCTCCCCTTCCTCAGGGGCCCCCAGCACCCAACCAAACACCCTCTTCCCCACGACCCCTCCCACCCCAGCTTCCCCTCACCCCCTTTCACAGAGCCCCAGCCCCACCTGGCAGGTGTACACCAGCCGGTAGTGCGTGGCCTCCACCTGCCCCACGACGCCGCCCGGCCCGGGGGCGCTGCAGAGCCTGCGAGGCCAGGCGGGCTCCGGGCAGCAGGGGTGGGGCCCTGGGGCTGCCCGGGCCCTGGGACGGGACGGCGGGACCCAGCGCCACACAGACCCCAGCCGGGCCCCGAGCGGCCCCAGCCTCCGCCCGGCCCGCAGCATCCCGCCCGCTCCGGTTCCCGGATGGGGCGGCCGCTGAGGCCCCGGCCGCCATCTTAGGTGTGGGCAGCGAGCCGGGCTCCCCGCCCCCGCTAGGCCTCGGGCACCCGATCCACCGGGCTACGGGGGGAGCCCGTCCGGCCCCCTCCGGGATGCCCTGGGGGGGCTCTTCTCCCTGCAAAATCAGAAGTAGGGCCCCCTCCCCAACATCACTGAGCTGGGTGCCCGGGGAGCCCTGCGCCTATGCCCCAAATCATACACAGGAGGCTCCCTGCCCTGCCCCCCAAAGCAGGCCCTGCCCCCCCCCACCCACACACACATAACCACTGAGCGGGGGGGGTGTGTCCCGTCCCCCCACTGCCTTTAGATCCTATAGCCTTAAATCAACAGACATAGGCCCGTTCCACCCGAGAAATCGGTCTAATAGAGGGGATCCCTCCTTCCCCCTTGGAGTGGGTGGCGCTCTGGACCGACCCCCCCAGCCTACTGCTCTGTCCCCCACCCCGGGTGGGTGGCCTTCGAGAGGCACATCTACCCCCGTCACCATGCAAATGAAAGGGACACCCTCGTTAGTCATCCTGAGCTCTGGCCACAGCTTGGTGCTCTGGCCACAGCTTGGACAGACCCCACACCCAGGTTTTCCAGAGAGAGCCCTTCAGTGCCCAGGGTATTTACTACTAAAGGAGGAAGCCAGGGCCCCGTAAGGTCTCACATCCCACTTATCAGAGGGGTACGAGAAACCTCAGCAACCTCTGGCTGACTGAATATCCAAGAGAAATAAAAACCTGTTACAGTTTGCAGCTGTATAGGTCCAGTTGCAGGTGGGCAGAAGGACAGCAGGTAACATGCAAGGAGCGTGTTCTCTCCTTTGCTATTAACATTGGGCATCTACCCCTATACACCAGCAGTCAAAGTCACACTCAGCACACTAGTGCTCTCTTTTGGATAGTACACAGAGCCTTAGACATGCTTAACATAACAGTAACTGATGTTTATTCAAAACGCTATTCAAGACTGTGGAGCTAAATTAGTTTTGGTCAAACCTCTGCTGTTGGGGGTTTGCTTTTATAGTTGCTAATGATATAGGGGCACACCCTCTGCACCCTGCTAGATTTGGTTAGTTTTCTGGTTTAGGCCCCTCTGTTGTTGGAGTACCTGGCCAAGACACCTGCACAGAGCTCAAGTGGCTCTACCAGAGGCCTGCTCACACAGGTGGAGTTACAAGACCACAATGTTGCCATTCCAAACATGCTTAATGGCCCAGCTCCTTTGGTTTCATTTAAAACATAAAACAGTAAAGTTCTAGCCCTCATGCGTGTGGAAGAAAACAGAACGTGAATGCAGGAAGCAAATAATAAAATAAAAGGAAACCACCATTTATTAAAGTCTCATGGGGGGGGGGGGCAGGGAAGGGGAAGATGGCATGTTATTTTTTAACTGAGGGTGCTAGCAATCGTGGAATTGAGGCATTAATTGGTATTACATTCTCCCTCATTTGGTTATTTTTCTGGAAATCATAAGAAAAATATTTTCTTAAGCTAATAGGTTGAATATGGACAGAGGGTTTTTCCATAGCCCACTGTTGTGTAGTGTTGCCATAGCAACAATTTTTAGCACATTTTATAGTTTTAGCACACCATTTAGTCCAGTTTTGAAGAAAATAAAAAAGTATATATTTTTAACCTTTTTACATGTTTTTTGCATGGAATACTACAATGCACTAACATACCCTGTTTCCCCGAAAATAAGACATCCTCCGAAAATAAGGCC